ATCCTCATAAAAACTATAATACGTAGAAACCAGAATACTGAATGATAGATTTAACATGAAAGGCCAAAAACACAAATGAAATACATTTGGATATCTTAACATATTTTTTTACATGCTGGATTATGTTGTCAAAAGATATGGTAATTATAATTTGTTTGCGAAAGAGGTGCATAATATGGAGGTACGTTTAGGGTATTGATCCCCCCACCCTCTTTGTATATGTACAAACATTGATCCATTTTCAGTAAGATGTTCGAATGTTCTAAAACTAAAAGACCTTTCGGCCCCTTTCAGTTAATTTTTTAACGGTTGTTGTAAAATGTCTCCTACAGCTAAGGCCAGACTAAAGAGAGGGGATGGCGGTGGTGATGACTGAGTTGCAGCCATGGGTCCCAATATTGAGGAGCCCCCCAAATCACTTCTAAAAAAATGTACTATAAATAAATATTTACGGTCGAGTTAAACAATGGGGTCATACAATTTTCGCAGCTATGGTAAGGCAACAAGTGTGCATGCGCCGGAATATGCCCCCCCCCACCTTTCACTGTTGAGGCAACCTCACCAGTGTCAATTTAATGCATGTTTAATATGCCTACAGCCCCTTGCCCTTCTGTTGAGACATATAAAATGACGATTGTTAGTGATATGAAGGGGCGTAAATGGGGGGGGGGGGGGGTGCAGTCGATCTCAAAATAAGTGCTCACTGAATTAATGAGGTAAACAAACAATGCCAAAATCATGGTAGCTGATTGGTATCATGTCGTGACGTTGTGGTGTCGACCTTCATAAGGCGATAATCCGACAAACCGACGTCACGACATTTTAACCCGACACAACGACAACCCGACAACACGACATTTTAACCCGACAATACGACATTTTTACGCGACATCACGACATTTTTACGCAACGCGTGACGTCGGATGTTCGCCTTATGAAGGGCGACACCACGACATCACGACGTGATACCAATCAGCCACCATACCAAATAGAAGGAAAAATCCCAAATATTATGTATTAGCGTGAATCCGTGCACTTATATTGCACACGTCACACAAAACTATATGACCTTGTCAACTTGTCATGTTTGAAAAAAAAAATGTGAAATGTTAAAGGCTCAATACCACTCTTGTTGTAACTGAATAATATGTCCCAATCTTTATTCTGGTCAACAATTGTACTATTTTAGAATATTTCAATTAATTGATGATTCAAATTTCATCTTAACACACCTTATTTAAAAAATTTGAAAAATTCAACATAATGGTTTGAAACGTCTAACGTAAACCTTTTCAAATGAAACTTCGATTTAAAAATATTTTCGAACCCTCTGGACAAGTAAAATAGGATGTAATGGATAATTTACACAACAGGTAGGACACTTAAACATCTAGTACTTAGATAGAGATATTATTTATTTTCTGGAGCTTTCAAGCCAGCAAGAGTGTTATTGTCCCTTTAAGGCGATTTATTGAACTTTTAGAATTTTTACTTGTTGCATATATTTAATCCCAGTAGAAATTAAAGCGTATTTTAGTTATATATTCTAAGTATTTTCTGACCATCAAAATTTTGCAATTCTTACTTGTTGCATAAATTTAATCCCAGTAGAAATTAAAACGTATTTTAGTTATATATTCTAAGTATTTTCTGACCATCAAAATTTTGCAAAATCTTCCCCCAAAGTCCAGTAAATAGCATGTCAGAAACCAAGTAAGCGCCCCCGTAAGACAAAGTCCCCTCAGGCCCAGTCCCAAAAAATTAAAAGCTCAAATCCATTATGTCATCATTCTTCAACTCTCCTGTCTTATATTATCCCATTACTATCATATTAACAGTTACAGTGAATCGCCCAATTAGTAGTACCACTAGTGAGTGAGTCGTGGGGCGACAGCTTGTAGAATTGTCATTTCTTCTCTCACAAAACAGACGAAATTGACAGGCCTCAAGATTCTGTCCCATTTCTTATCCTCTCCTTAACGAGAATTTGGTCCGATTTGTCAGGACATTGGCAAACATTTTCAGGCCCAGTCCATAATTGGGCGCTAGATTCTATTATGACTTCATTTTTCCACTCCTCCGTGGTCTTATACTGGCCCAGCACTATCATATTCCTTGCAAAACAGGCGGTATTTACAGGGGCAGATCTCGAAATTCTGTCCCATTGACTCCCATTTCTGGTTCTCTGGTTCACAAGAATTCGCTCCTATAGCAATGACCTCAAATGCCAGGATATTGATTCAATTTTTCAAACTTTTCTCAGGTTGCTCAGTGTTATAGCCACTGCCTCTTAAATTTAAATACAAAATCAATAACAATCATCATATTATATGACATGAACTTTATGTCAACTTAAATAAAACTGCTTTCCGACGATTTAAGAATCGGCGAACAACTACTATATATAGGCATTACGATTTGTGTTCTACCGGGGCGCTCAGACAGTGTTATAGCCAGTATTGTGGGGTGGGATTGTTGATGGCGCCCTAGATTTGGATCCGCCCCACCCCATCTCCAGCTTCTAGATCCGCTATCTGGCCCTTAGAAAACTCTCACCTTTGGTGTTCGACTCCTGACAGCTTCACTCGTATTAGGGGCACGTGAATCAGTCGGTCGAATTTTTTCTCTCCCCCCTCCCCCAAACAAAATCTTTATGTACGTCCCTGGTGATATGTTGGCATTTCAAGTTTATGCAGCTCATATTTATTTGTAAGTATAGCGGCGGACAAGTGAGCCCACCGGCTAGTACTAGTGAACCCCTTTCATTCAAATTATTTGGGTGTCTGATTATTGTTATTATTCTATTCTAATATTTTGTATATATACAGCCCTTTTTGAAAAAGAAATAGAACTTTTGGGGGTCGAGTATGATATGAACATGTCAAATAAGATTAATACCTACTACTACTACTACTACTACCTATAGTAATATAATAAAGACGAGATATTATGTTATTTTTACTATTTCGTGTGACATTTAATTATTAACTACTGTTGAAATTTAGTAATACACGCCTCCTGCAAATAATTAATGGACACAGATCACTAAAGATTTCCCCATTGACTCCAATGTTAATTCTCGTATCTTAGACCGGCTCTAACTTTTTCCCAAATTTTCTTTGGGTAGAACGCTTTCTACCACAGATGGAGCAACATGTGGCAACCACTTGCCCAAAAGCACGTACGAGGTTCTTCATGAAAAACTTGAGATACATAAGCTGGGAGTAGAGACAAGTAAACATGCAATTTCAGGCCCTACATTTCAACCTAACCAACCTCTCAACTCTTGTATCCTTCCGCATCAAAATTATGAATATTCACCAAAACCTGGCAGAAAATGTATTTTCAAACCCTTTTCCTCGATTCTACACCAAAAAGTCAACAAAAATCGCCATGCAAAAGGGGGAAAAAGGAAAAGGGAGAGGAAGACTAAAAATAGCTTTGGCCCTTCGGATCGGTAATGTACTTATTTCCCCTACGTTTTTCATGGCCAGTAAATTTGACACGACCGTTAAAATGATCATGTCAAATTAGATAATCCGAACTTATAGAAGGGTGTCAGATCGTTAATCTATGGAAATATTCGTTTCATGAAATTTAATAATCCAGCAGATCAGTCCTCCAAATTAATACTTACAAATGATTTGACTGACGTTTAACGTGATTGATTTGTCGGAGTATGAAGTTCATATTTTATTCTATTATGTTTCTATAAAGTATATATAAAGAAGATTTATTGAGTCAAAGAACACGGATTGGACGCGTGCCAACCCCACCCGTCGGTACAGATATTGCTGACAAAATCATTATTATCTGAACGATTGAAATATAAAGTTTGAATTGTCAAACTACTGTAAGGATATTATACCGGGCATGGTCTTTTTATTATCCCCGCTAATAATATTTTTTCTTCTATTGATTAACAAAACAACATGAAAGAAAGCTACTGAAACGTTTCATATTTGAATTGTACACAAAAAGGCTGAATGGTATTATTTAGATAGTAATTCAGAAGACAAAAAAACCTAAAGCAATAATAAAGTTTTGATGTAGATATTAGCGGAATAACTTTTCAAACATTATAGAATCATCAAGATGGCGGAGTAAAAAATAAAAGAAGGAATTTAAACGTCAAATAGCGATTGAGAGATTTTTGTGTTTTAAAGTCACAACGGTTCAGTATGTTTGGCGCATGCCGGGAAAGTTCCACAGGGTTTTCCAACCTGGTTTCTACTTGTCAGTGGTGTAAGACGGGGTGCCTGGCAAAGATAAGAAGTTAGTTGTTCGGATGGAACGAAAACCTGAAGTCCATCAACCCGTTTGATGCAGAAATATATGTAATTTCTTAAACTCTATATTTCACTGTTATTCTTACTGTAGTAGTTATAGGGGTTAACGTCTGCTTCTACCTAGGGTGATATCGCAAATAACCGTTATTTTGACTTGCCGCCGATTATATTAAAAGCTGATTTAACTATACATCTCTTAATATAGCATCTAACTATTACACAGAAAATATTGGTCTTGCAGTAACCTTCCCATGAACATATAGCGCTATATACCCCGGCTTGACCTTTTAAATATGGTTAAACTAAGACACTAAAATGGATATAAATTCATTGTTGAATTCCAATAAAACTGTCAAATAATGTAAACCCCACAATAAATTTTTATTAGTGCACGAAATCTAAGAATTTTGAATGCGTTTAGTGTAAATCTACTGAATTTTATATTAGAACTATAACTTTTGAAAACACTGATGATTTCTAAAAACAAATAACTAAGAATATATTTTTTTCTTCTGTAGAATTTAAGTTTGACAGTAACGTAGGACATTTTTCAATTCAAGATATAACGTTTGCAAATTTCTTAATATCCTATTTTTGGGGGTATTTTTTCTTTCTTTTGCTTAAAAAGAAAGAAAAATTGCAGTTTTGAACATTAAGGCTATTAAAGGCTCGAAATATCCGACGATTTAGTATTGTATATTGTATTTTCAGAATGGGTTGGTTTGAAGCATTTCGTGGTGAACAAGGATACACGTCATATGGTGACAGGCGAACAGCTGCTCTTATAGACTTACCTTTAGCCGCCGTGACGTACTTTTGTACTCTTATTGCCATAGCAACTGTTATTGCATCTTTAGGTATCCGAGGAAAAGATGTAAGTTATTGATTAAAGCTCTTAAAATTCCGATTATAGACATACTAAAATAGCGGCTTGGTAGTTTGAAATGGACACAATTCAGGGGCGGATCCAGGAATTTTTGCAGGAGGGACTTTGCCAGGTTCCTGTTAAGGAAATTTGACAGTTGACAATGCATGATGTCATCATCAACTCCAAATTCCAACACCCCATTTTACGTCATTTTTTATTGTCCCCCGCCTTTCAAAAAAAGCAGGGGACTATTAAAATGGGTTCGTCTGTCTATCTGTCTGTCTGTTCGTCACAATTTTTGGGACACAATAACTCTCTTTCTAATTGAGTTAGAAGGTTCAAACTTGGTGTAAGTGTTTATAAGTAAGTAATTGGTTGATGCTTTGGGACACGATAACGATAAGTGAGAGTGATGAAACATGATGTATAGTTTCATTACATCAATACCTTGACTAAGTTCGATAATGAGCAGTTTCTGCTCAGGATAAACAGAGCGATACGCAATTTGATTGGCCAAGATTTTGGAACACAATATCTCTCCTTCAAATTGAGCTAGAATGTTCAAACTTGGTGTAGGTGTTTATTAGGTTAATGCCTTGATGGAGTTCGAAGATGAGCATTTCCTGCTTAGTGTAAGCAGAGATAAGCAATTTGATTGGTTGATGCTTTGGGACACGATAACTTTATTTCTAATTAATTGAGAGTGACGAAACTTGGTGTATAGTTTCAGTACATCGATCCCATTACTGAGTTTGATAATGAGCATGCTCTGCTCAGGATAAGCAGAGCGATAAGCAATTTGATTGGTCTAGACTTTGGAACACAATAACTCTCATTCTAATTGAGTTAGAATGTTCACACTTGGCGTAGGTGTCTATTAGGTGAATGCCTTAGGGTAGGCAGAGATAAACATTTTGATTGGTTGATACTTTGGGACACTATAACTTTAGTTCTAATTAAGTGAGAGTGAGGACACTTGGTGTATAGCTTTATGACATAAATACCTTGACTAAGTTCGATAATGAACATTTTCTGCTGAGGGTGAGCAGAGCGATAAGCAATTTGATTGGTCGAGACTTTGGAACACAATAACTCTCTTCTAATTGAGGTAGAATGTTCAAACTTGGTGTAGGCGTTCATTAGGCGAATGCCTTGATCTAGTTCGATGATGAACATTGTCTGCTTACTTTAAGCAGAGATAAGCAATCTGATTAGTTGATGCTTGTAGGCACGATAACTTTGGTTGTAATGAAATGAGAGCGATGAAACTATGAATATAGATTAATTATTTCATTACCTTGACTAAGTTCGATGGTACGAATTTTCTGCTTAGGCTAAGGAGCGATAAGCAGTTTGATTGGTCAAGACTTTGAAACATAACAACTCTGTTTTTAATTGAGGTAGAATGTTTAAACTTGATGTAGATGTTCATTAGGTGAATGTCTTGACTGAGTCCATTTACATTTCGAGCTAAAGCTAGCAGAGCTAATCAATTTCATTAGTTGATGCTTTGGGACAAGATAATCTTGATTCTGATAGAGAGTGATGAAACTTAGCGTATGGTTTGATTGCTCGATACTTTTGAAAAAAATAAATGTGCGATAAATTACTATGTGTCATCTATTTATTTTGGCTTGTTATGAATTAATAGGATCACATTGTGATTTAATTTCATTGATGTAAAGCATCATGTGATGTCACATATATCATTATCTCGCACTTTGAATGCCTATCTCATCCCTCCATCTGATGATAAAGGATAAAGCACACGACCGTGACACTTTTCTCATAAAAAGAGTTTTACATTTTTTTTATGTTGCTTAGCTGGGGGGGGGGGGGGGTCCCTCGCTCCCCCGGATCCTCCCCTGCATTTGTAATCGGTCACTGTGAAATAAATATACTTTCCGAATGAAAATGCACCTATGTAACATTTATTTATTCCATTTTATTGACTGATTTTTGGTACAGTGGTACGCTTACTGTCTAAAGAACAACCTGTGGTGTACTCTTATTTATTCAGCAAGTTCACATAGCTAACAATATTGCATGTTTATTAAAAGCAAAATATAATGCACGTAAACGAATATTCCTCTTTTTTTTAGAAATGGGGTACAGTAGTTCGTTCATTCTACGGCGTAGCTGTTGGCTCCATTATTTTGGGTAAGTCAACCACTAAATCTCTTAAAAATCCCGCTTTCGTCATATTTTCAGACCAACGGATGGATTTTTCTGTTCACATAATATTGCCGATATATTAGAATGGTTATGGGTTGATGAGCCATTAGGCAGGAGATAATATAGTCAAAACTAACTCAAAAATACTTTCGTACGGGCGCTAACATTACTATAAACCCTGTCTCATTTTCTAAAACATGGCATTTCATTTAATAATGTATCGCTTGGATAACTGGTAGGCAAGAGCACCCCGAAGTCTACAATTTCATTAGATTACATTTTACACTTATAAACTCTTCAAAAAAAGTAGGGGATATTGAAATGCAAATACCTATGCAGGTTGCGATATGATAAATAGTCATGGAAATTTGACATGCTTTGGGAGTATGTTCACAGATGAAGAACTTATCGCCCCAACAGAACCACTGAGCTGCACATGCGACACGCAATAGCGCCATACACGTGGGAGGGGTTCATTATCAAACTTGACACTTCAAGGAAGGGTTGGTGAAAACTGCTGCGTGCTGGTTTATCTATCCATGCTTGCTTTCCTATCGGTTCTTGCATAATATTTACTGTTTAGCGTATCTTTGCTTAAGTGTTTTACGTTTAATTTGATCGGGAGACGTGTTCGTCGACGTTAACGTCAACCGACAACACTGCAAGAATTGGCCGTGTCACTGCAAGAGGAATGGGTCAGATTGCCCCAAATCGTGATTGGACGGTTGATTATCTATAGGAGCATGCCACGACGAATTGCTGAATGTCTGAGGATTGGTGGAGCAATTACTCATGTGTAGAAAATAATAAAAACAGCAGTGCATTTCCGCAGTTTTGTATTATTTCTGAATATCCCCTACTCTTTTTTAAGAGTATATATCAGTATCTGTGTATCTGGTCATTGTATTTTACGTATCTTTTTATGTCCATTCTTTATATTTTAGTATCTGCATATGGGTATTGTTTATATTTCAGTATCTTTATATGGACATTGCTGGTTGATGGGAAAGGAGAACATATCCAGTACATACGTTTATCGATCACCTGATATGTTTACAGGAGAAGTGGGAATACAAGTCGGTCTTCATGGCGCTAACGTTACTTTAAGGGGTAAGAAAATCCTATATACAGACGATAAAAAAAAACTCAACTGCTTACGGTGTCTTATCAAAATTTTATAAACATTTCATTCATTTTTTTTTATTATTATTATTTAAATGATTCTCGTGATTATCAGAATAAATGGGATGAATATTTGTCTATTTTATTCAGATTGGCAATGCCCGAAAGTTACTCGCAAAGGCAGGAAAGCTGCCACCTGAAACTGCTAACCAATATGAAATTGTTATTCGTTCATTGTGTTTTGCTTTCCGTTTGTGTTTCTCTTTTACTCATATAAATGATTTTATAGGATATTTTGGTGAACCTGGGAGAAGAGGTGAAGTTATTTATTCCGAAGCTTTACCATGGCCAGATTGTGAGTAAAGAGTTCCTATCAATAAAAATTACCATTTAACTTTTAAGCTATATACACCCATAGTAAAATATGTCGCCATTATATGGTACCACTTACACTATGGCATCGTCCTATTTCAAATAACAAAAATGTTGTCCAGGGCAGTTGCCAGAAGTCTCATGAAATAATAGAATATAAAATAATATTATCTTGTTGTCGTTCTCTTGTACACATGTCTAATTATTCTTTGATTTTATTTTTTTAGTCGGTCACGAAGAAGAACATCTGTCTGTCTATTTATTACGAGGGTTGCCTGATCCCATCTTGCGTGTAACTGAATATTTATGTACTGATTCTGGTGGTCTACGTTGGGGACGCTCCTTTCATTTGGCAGGGAATTTAGCAAGTGCATTGTTATGGTAAATACATACCAATTCATGCCTATTGATTTAAATTTGTGTATTACAGTGCTGTTTGGAATTTGTAATGCCACACTACTGTTTCACCTATTAATGTATAGAAACGTTAGAATTGTGTTTAAAAAGAAATTCAAATACAAAGGCTAAGGATAATATATCTTTAAATATTATTTGTCCTTTGATTAATTATTATTTGTATTTTTTGCAGGACATCGTTTGCTTTCTGGTTGATAACCAATTTACTGCTGTTTACTGTTATAGTTTACGGTGCCTACATGATGGTTCTTACGGGTACTACAATGTTTTTGGCCAGTATCGTGTATCATGTGTTAATGCCGACCCAATCACTGGCTATTACTTTTGATGACGTCTCATTAAAGACACATTATGGCTGGTGTTTTTGGTTGACTCTTATAACAGGTAAATAAATTTGTGATGGATGTGCAGTGCACATAGCCAAAATTTTATATTTACTCGTCTTTAGACGACATCATTTGCTTAATTAAGTTCGATGTTTCAGTTTGGACATTTACCATGGGTATTATGGAGATTCTTCATTAGCCCAGGTTAGGAGCAGAACAGTAGGACGTTAAACTCCATTTCATTTCATTTCACATTATTTTGAAAGCTGGGTTATACGACACCCTTTCGTTTCAAGCCAAACTACATTTTCTATTCACGTTTTGTTTTCTTTTATAGGTGTGACAACTATTGTATTTGGAGTCATTCTACTTTTATTAGAACATTTTATACCCAAAAGAATCTCTGAGTTTTTCCGAGTTGAAACAAGTATAGGAGAAGATGAAAGATATGACACGTTAATTAATGTAAGTAACTAATGGATCTACATCACACCATGTCGAAATAAAAATAAATTATCTCTATTAGCCTTTAATATCATATTTTTTTAAGTATCTTACTATTTGTAGCTCTGATTTATTGAAAATTCCGAAATCCGTTACTAAGCAAAACAAAGTATTTAGTAGAAGCGAACGTTAGATATCATACGCACACGTTTGCCATCGCTTCTTGACTTGATTAAATTTTTAGACTACCACAACATTAGGACATTAGCCAGTGGCCAGTGGTGTAAACTTTTATTTGTGTTAGTTGAATAAAGTAAACAATTTTTTAAAAATTATTTCTTTTTTATTTTCTAGGATACCAGTAGACGATCTAGTGTTTTTTCTGTTCTGGACAAACGTGGCAGTATTTTCCAGGGACCGAATGTTAGGAAACAAAGCATTTTTTCTGAACCCGACAGTAGAAGATCTAGTATCGGTACGAACGGTTGGTTTGCTCAGAATCGAGCGTTTGTGAATGATCATGGTCGGTCTCAGTCACAACCAGCTTTATACCCTTACGACGTGGACATAATTGTCGAAGAGGAAGAAAATGTTTCATCAGATGAAAATCAAGTAACCGAAAGTGATGTTCGTATTGAAATCGAGCCAGATTTGTCAACGACGTCATCAGTGGGGATTACGATGACGACAGCCGATTCTGAGAACCGCGTAAATGATTTAAATGAAAAACACATGTCTGCGAACAGTAATAAAACCCAGTTAGGTGTCACTACCATAAACATTAAAGCTGGTAGGTCAAGAAAGAACTCATCAGATTCTGGGCATGGGTGTTCGGAGAATTGTTGCTCTTCCGCGGTTTCAGATTCTCAAAGTATAACTTCTTAGGTTTTCTGTTTAAAATGTTGTGTTTCCATATGTCGAGCACCACGTGTGTTCTAAATTATTAATGCATAATGGTCATTAATCAGACATTTTTATGTGATCATGAATAATTTTAGTTGTGATTTGGCTGTATTATGTGTCAATTTTCTTGTGCTTTCATATACGTGATAACTTAATATGACAAATATTAATGGAGACAATTTTCGGATAGAGTGTATCTGTTAAAAAAATATTCGAATTGGAAACGGATAGACATTTCGGAAGTAATTTCAGTCGATTTTTATGTAGATCAGGTTATTGATATGAACCACTAACTGGGTCTAACCACTTGTTAACATTCTTCTTGATGGTCTGGTTCTTGCTCTGTTTGGCATGTTTGTTCTATGGACATCAGCTGTGTATCGATTGACAGACTTCGATTTTTGATGACGTCATTGTCGGTTAGTGGTTCCTTATGGTACGCTCAGATTTTTAACATTGCATTTTGTGCCTGTTTCTTGATGGAAATTGGTGCTAGAATTTAACCCTGCTGTCTCTTAACTTATGCTCAGTTCTCTCCCTAGCATTTATAATACGACAAAAGCTGTTAAACGGAGCTATGTATGTAAACTTCCCAAATTACGTGGTATCACAACCGAGACGTTGTCTAGAAAAGGAATCAAGACAAATGGAATTGGTTCTATTTTAACGAAAGCTTGCAACAATTAAACAACTTCCTTTGTGTTCATATTATGTGATTATTTTTTGCATTAATGTAATTACAAACGGGAGAGGTGCGTTTTGCAAGAAGCTTATATCTGAGTAACATTCAGTTTATAATACCCGAACGACATACCAAACATGTATTAGTTTATCCCACGACAATTCTGTCCTCTCCCCAAATGCAAAAGAAATGAATATGATGTCCTGGGCTGGTGCGTTTCACTTATGGTGGCATTATTCCATGTTTAAAATGTAGTCAAATTAAATAATAATTCTTTTTTTAACGGTCATCGTAAGGCTATTTAAAATATGACCTACAGTATTTTATATAATATTGTTGTTTCGAGAGTTTTAATGTGATATTTTATTATATTATGTGTTTACTATGTACTGTTCTTTGTGATACGTCTATGAACTTGTTGTTTTGTCCCAAGAAGGATCTTGATACAATAATTGTACATAACCAAGACGGTCCCTTTGGTGGTGAAATTGTTATTTTAATACAGTGTTTCGCAAATTTTTTTTATCTAAATTGAACACGGTGAGCATTATTAGTTAGAAATTCAAAACATTTTGAAGAACCATTTCTTATATGAATGTGTTTGCCATTGTTTATTAATGGACGCATTATTAAAGTGTCGAAAACTTGGTTTTAACAAGTTTAAACCTTGGCCAAATACAAGACATGCCACATTTTAATTATTGTATCCATTTAGGTCCTATTTGGTTTAGTTTTTTTGCAATTATTTCATTCTTGCCCTACAGTATCATGAAAGTATGGCCGTTTGTCATGCTGCTAAATATAATCTCTTAAATTTGTACATCGAAAATAATAATATATGTAACAATATGTATATAGATTTATTTTTACAATAAAATAACAAGCAAAACTAAATCCCACTTATGATTGAAATGGGTTTCTCTTTTGCTAAACTTAGTCCCTGTTCTTTTATTTTCTTTTAACTCCCCTAATGCAAATCCAATATTGGAACAATCATGAACAATATCCCATTTTCAAATCACTGTGACCATTAATGAATATTATGAACAACGCTGGTTAAGTAACTCGCCCTTGTACTAAAGCTATATGGATTATTTTCTTATATACATGTATATATAGAATAATGCCCTGCTTTTAGTCGTCTGGTCTTGAAACGAAAATATCGGGTAGGCATTATACTCTCTCCCGCTCACAACACTTAGTTTTCCCTTTGCTTGCTATTTTTCAAATGTCCCCGTGGCCAATCCAACCTTTAGTTAAATATGCCAAATTAAATATCTTTTTTTTTCCAAAATCAAGTTTGCAATCAAGGTTGTGGCTATCACCGTTGATGTATCGAAATATAAAATGTCATTCGATTAAAAGGGGGCTGTTCAACGGTTAATAGTGGCGGCGCCAGCCGTCGGTGATTGGAGGGACAAAGCTGTCGCAAAGTCCAAGGTTAAGGGGGCAAAGACACGAGCTTCAACTAGGGGTAGGGGGCCTCCACCAGAAAATTATGAAAAACAGCTTGCCGGAAATGCAGCCTGGCAGAATTTCAGGCACTGATCGATGAGGTAAAGTGTCAAACGAACCGACTTGCGAATCACGACGAAGCCCACTCACGAGCGTCAAAGTAGGGAGTCCTCCCCCAGAATATTTTGAAAAATAGACTGCCGGAAATGCTGTCTTACAGTATTCTGTCAGGCACCGATCGTCGAGATAAATAGATCTGCCCAGATACCGTTCGTCGCCTGATCACTAGTTTATCCGACTAGAGAACAAAATGTCAAACGAACGGACTTGCGAACCTCAACGAATTCCCCTTGTGAGCGCCAAAGTAGCGAGTCCATTGGGGACCTCGCCAAGAAAATTTTGAAAAATAGACAGTCGGAAATGCTCTACACCATGCGCAAGTTTATGACTGGGTGGGGATGTGGTATTTATTCACCGTAGAAGGTATTGATTACCGAAACGTATCACAAATACTTTTTTTTATTTTCTAAAATTATGGGGGGGGGGGGGCAAACAGAGGGCAGACCAGATGCCCCCCCCCCCCCTGGCGCCGCCACTGACGGTTAACCAAAAATCTCACAAACAGTTGCATACTGCTCGCAGAGATCCATCTACTTTAAACTTCGAGAATACCTGTTCTCATGCGGAGCTAACTTGTAGACAGGTAGCCTAAGTTTGGGATGCAACAGTTGGATACAAAATATCGAAACAGGTTGACAATGACGTCATATACACCTACTGGCCTGGAGACCTACTCAAACTCCTGAATGATGATAAGTCATTGGTAAAGCTCAGAAAGGCTATATGGCTTAGACTTGCCACACGACTTGAATAAAGCCGAATGTGTCACTGTTGTCTATATAGGGCTATTCATTGTTAGAACTGTAATTTGTCATTACTATTTGTTAGACGTGTAGGATTATAGCCTGTTAATTTATTTGTGGCACGGGTCTAAGAGAGATAACTGCAGTTAATTACCACAAGCAACGTCGTCCTCGTTAGCTTAAACAGGTCGACTGGTCCCGTTTAAGCTTTAAAATCCAATCGAACTATAATAAATTCCAAGATGAGCCCCATCGAAGGTTTTGTATCAAATTCACAAAGCTCCATAAGTCAAAACGCAATATTGAATCTTCGTGGTGACCAGGCGTTTGGGTGTGTGGGTGTGTGTGTGGGTGTGTGTGTGTGTGTGGGGGGGGGGGGGGAATGTCTACAATTGGGGGAAAATGTGATTATGCTGTTGACATAAAGTTAATGATGATCATGTTACATATTAATAAAACACTACTGACATGTTTTGGTATGTCATGTCACGTCAGGCCACGCCTTGTCACGTCTACAATCAAGTTACACCATGAATTACTGATTGTAGTAACATCCAATACCTATTAAAGTGGAAAACCTGTCATTTTGAACTCCATCATGACCGAACTTTTTTTATATTAATTTCAGCTTGATACATCAAATAGTGACGGGGATACGCCATCTTGAATGTTGAAAAAATGACGAAGAAAACTTTCGAAAATCTTTGATGCTTATATAAATCGAGCGAACTTCCGAATTTCGAAAAACCGTCAGTCAGAGCTCGTATGGGATTAGTCCAAGGAAACCAAAAATTGAAAACCCGAAGAAGATCCGTTGAGAAATAACCGAGATATGAGCAATCGGAGATTATTTTTGTCCCATCCGTAAAACACTTCTGTTTGTCAAAAATAACCCAGTCGAGCGAACTGTTGGTCAAAAATGACCCAATTCATATTTGATAATTAGATCAACGGAGGGAAACCACATCTACGTTGGCAGAATGTTTGCACCATCCACAGTTTTAGCTGCGAACTCTGACTAAATCCCCCCCCCCACCACCTAAAAAAAATAAAAACACTTACGAAAACAATACATACACGTAATAAATTTCTATTACGCCCACGCAGGATACGCCCATATTTTGCAAGAGATGGATAGAGAACAAGCTAAAAACAAACGGGCAATAATCCAGAAAGTTATGGTCTGAAATGCGCAAATATAAAAAGGGACCGAGATCTTTGGGATATAAAGATATGTTTTAAGTTTCACCAGAATCGGATAAAAATTGTGACCTCTAGAGGGTCGACAACCTTCATATTGCATACTTTTACACAATTTGCGTAAAAAAAAAGCGGCCATTTTGTTGGGCAGTTTCATGTCGATTTTCCCAAAATTCGAATTCAACCTTCATTATGGTGAAATATTTCAACGGTTTTTAAAATCGGAAAAAAAATTGTGACCTCTAGAGAATCCGCAAGCATAAAATGCCATTTTCGAACAATTAGGGGCCATAATCTAGGAAGTTTAGTTCGGGTATCCGCGATTATCAAAAGGATCCATGATGTTAGTGTGTTATGGTGATATATTCACACATTTTTTTTTAAATCAGATAAAAATTGTGACCTCTACAAGGACCACAAGCTAAAAACGCGATTTTTCGTACACTCAAGGGCCATAATTCAGGAAGTTACTATCCGATATGCCGAATATCGAAAGGAACCAAGATCTTTGGGTTATTAACTTACATTTAAGTTTCATCAAAATCAAAAGAAAATTGTGACCTCTAGAGGGTCCACAACATTTTGTCTGTCAGTTTTGGTCCGATATTTACGAAGTTTGAACTCAACTATCCGTAGGGTGTAATTGTGATATATTCCAACGTGTTTTTAAATCGGATAAAAATTATGACCTCAATACGGTCGACAATCTAAAAACACGATTTTTCGTACATAATCACATGTTCACCCAATTGTAAACATTGGACCCCCCCCCCCCATCCCATACCTCGAAAACGCCCCCTCAAACACCTGATCACCACCCAGATTCCGGAATCTATGCCAAAAAACTGGTCTAGAACAACTTGATCTTATAAATACACAGCTCGGGTGGCGATCCCACCCCCATCCCCACGCCCCTTCGGCGACCGGATTATACGAAGATTATTCCCAGACAGTTGGAATTTTGCCTCGCTCGAAACATATGCCACGCATAAAGCAGAGTGACTAGAGTGGAACTAGAAACTGTTTATTACACTGATTTTAAATGTTTTAAATGTTTATCCATCAGTAAATTTAAAGGAATTTCGATTCGCGAAAACTTGGATGACAAGATAAAAGGTCACGGAATTTCTGTCACTTTATTTTTTTATTTTTTTCACTGTACCCTTCTGGACTAAAAATCTAATTAGGGTTAGGGCTAATAGTATTCCTGTTAGGGAGCCACGGTGGCTAGGTGGCTAAGACGCTGGATCGCTAGCCTGGAGGTCGGGTGTTCGATCCCTGCATTGGCCGAGAAAGTTCAGCTGTCCAGTCCCTCCGATGATACGAAAAACCGAGGTCCCGTGTATACATTGGAATGCACGTAAAAGATCCCTTGGCAGTTGGAATTCGATATAAGAGTAGGCGATAGTGCCGCTGCCCGGGCAGCGCAATTTCCCTCATAGCACACTGTATGGCGTATGTCCGTCTTCATTAGCCCAGCATATATAGGAGCAGAACAGTAGGACGTTAAACCCATTTCATTTCAGTATTCATATTAATATCCTGAGCACCAACGATAAGCCCAACCCTTTTCCGTATAATTAGGGCCACGATATAGCATCAATATAGCCTTTTCTCACTGGTCGCATTTGCCCATTGACTTCAATGTTAAATGGCTGTAACATCACAGGCTGTAACTTTTTGCTCAACATTCTGTCGGTTCCAATCTTTATAGGCACAATGGGGACCACATTTGACAATATCCTCATCATAACTTTGTAGGGGGTTGACCGTTTAGATTTTTTGCTACGGGGATTTGATGTTGACTGGGGTGAAAATCTCACTTCCGACACAATGATTATTCTTGATTCTTGATTGCTCTGCAGAAAGACACTAACTTTACACCCACTATCCCTCCGCTGTAATATCATCAGAATTACCCAAAACTGCTATGAAATTGCAAATTTGATCCCTTTTCTCCAATTCTAGACCAAAAAGTCAACCCAAAAATGCAGGAAGAGGGGAGAAAAAGATTAAGGAAAAAGTTGTCTATTTTCATGAAATATGGAGAAATAATTACTAGTCTGAGACCTACTCTCCCAAACAGAGTTGTCTTCTCTTGTAGTTCGCACTGAATAGCGAGATTGTGTGGAGAATGGTCTAGTATGGTGGCCCATGGTCGCAATAGCGTTTTTTGGGTTATTTTTGGTATTTCATTTAAAATAATAAAAATATTAGTACAAAAAAAAAAAAGAAACATTTTTTTTTTTTATAAAATAAAAAAAAATAATCTTTTAAAATTTAAAAAAAAAAAATCTTTTTAAAATGAAAAAAAAAATCTATCTATATATATATAAAAAAAATAATAAAATATATTTTAAAAAAAATAAAAAAGAAATAATATTAAAAAAAAATTAAATGAAAAAAAAAAAAAATTGA